AATTAAACTATGTGATGCTGAACTTTCTTACTCAATAACAAGTTATTTTGGAGGTGTTATTATAATAAAGCATCATAGAATCAGTGGGATGTAATGTTTAAAGTGTTTGGTTAAGACTAGGGAGACCTTTGTTCAGATACCTGCTCAGCTATGAAAAACATTAAGTGACCTGTGGCAATCTTTCAGCATAACCCTACTTCCCAGAAGTGTTGTTGAAGGTAAATGTATGCCATCCTGAGGATGTTGGAGAAAAGGGTAAGATAAAAATGTGCTATCTAAATCTGGTATCTAATGGCAAGCTGTAAGAGCAGCAGCACCTAAGGAATTGCATTCTCTCATTTGTGAACTGGTAAAGCCCATTCATGTAGAAATTTATTAGAATTAAGGGAGTTTAAAATCCCACACTTTATTTTCTACTTTAAATTGTTTTAGAAAGAGTACAAGAATTGGAGACCACTGAGTATCTGAACCACTGAATTCTAGCATGTAGGGAGAAAGGAATTTTTGAGGTCACTTTTCTCCTGTTAGCATTGAGTTACTACAGGTAGAAATGTCATAGGATGGAATGTCAGCTGTATAGTGGACATCACCATAACAGTCTTTTCTGTATTCACAATTTAATATTTTAAAGTCACTTTGCCGTCCCTGTTGGCAAAGACTTGTCTACTATGTTTCTTCAAATCTTGAGCTTTTCTTTCTTTCTTTCTTTTGGTCCTTAGCTTGCTTCCTTGGAATACAATTTTAGACCCTCCTTGGTCTGCCTTTCATCTGCCATACGATTTACAGTATAGTCAGCAAATGGTTGTGCTTTCAGAAATTGTGGTGTGATTTATTTTTCCTGTGCTTCTGGGAGACACCTGGCATTATTCATTTCACCCTTTGATTTACTGTCAAATAGTCATGGCTTTTTCTTATATTAGCATCCTAGTTTCAGCTGTGCAGAAAATGCAAGTACTTTCTCATTAGTTTGTGGAAATCTTTTAAAATGAGCAATTTAGGACATTACAAGAAGCATTAAAGAGACAGAGGAAGGTATGGTACGGTACAGTGCCTATAGAGTTGGGGGTGCAGATAAGAAGTGCAAGTTGAAATCCCTGCTCCACTCTGAAGTTCTCAGTGACCACGGATGAGTCTCTGAGTTTCACTTGCTGTAAGCTCGTGAGACAAGCTTCTTTGAGAAAGGGTGGGGTACAAATGAATGCATATTTCCGATTGTAAACATGTTATTTTCTGTCTTAGGATGTAAATAAAATACAGATTGTAAGGAACTTCTTAAAGGACAACCATGATCTTCAAAGAACCTTGGAAGCAGAAATACAGAATCTAGAAATCCTGGTACAATTGTACAGCCAAAAGCAATCCACAGAAGAGACTCAAGAAGTGAATAATGAACAAGAAAAGGATGAAGGCAAGTGTATTGGTTTAAAATGTAATCAGTTATATCTTTCTAACTATATTACATGCTGCTTTACATTTCTGACATTTATTAAATGCCTGGAAATATTACTGTCATATGAAAATTTCATTACCATTACATCAGAAGATACAATTTTATGTCAACTAGTGGACAAATTTAGTACTGGTCAAGTATTATTTTGAAACTACTGTTTTTTAGTTTGAATCAGCGTGTGACATTTCCTTTCTCTGTAATTCTTAAAAGCAGAATGCAGCCTTTGTGATGCTTTAATCTATGGAGTCGTTGGCCCACATTCCCCGTCCCTTCAGTTTTGATACCATCGATCATGGTATCCTTCTGGATCACCTTTCAGGACTGGGAGGCACTGTTCTATGGTGTTTCCAGTCCTACCTAGAGGGTAGTTTTCAGAGTGTGGTGCTGGGGAACTGCTGCTCTGCCCCTTGGTTTTTGGCCTATGGGGTTCCCCAAGGTTTGATCTTGTTCCCCATGCTTTTCAATATCTATGTAAAGCCACTGGGAGAGGTCACCTGGAGATCTGGGCTGAGATGCCACCAATATGCAGATGACACTCAGCTCTATCTTGGGACTACCAGCAGATCCCAAGGAGTCTGGAAAATGTAAACAGGTGCCTGGAAGCAGTTTTGGAATAGCTGAGGGCTGACAAGCTGAAACGTAATCCAACAAATTGAAGGTGTTATTTGTAGGGGGGAGGTCTGATCTGGGAAATGGGTTATCCCCTGTTCTGGATGGGGTTGCACTCTCCTTAAAGGAGCAAATTCATAGCTAGGGGTGCTTCTGGACCCAGGCCTCCTGTTGGATAAACAGGTGGCATTGGTGGCCAGGGGTGCCTTTCAGCAGCTTTGACTGGTGAGCCAGCTGCGGCCCTTCCTGGACATGAAAGGTCTTACCACTGTGCTGTGTGCCCTGGTAACATCTAGATTAGATTACTGCAATGCACTGTACATGGTGGTCACCCTTGTAGACTGTCCAGAAGCTACAGGTGGCACAGTATGCTATGACGAGAGTCTTGACTGGAGTGGGTGATCCATTGGGGGGGGGGCTTTGCTCCAATACAGTGGTCAGTACATCCAGTGGTCCTAAAGTTTCAGGTGCATAATGGTGTGCTTTAGTGTTTTGTTTTCACTGAATTTCACCCAATAGGTATTAGTACTGAAATGACCTAAAAATCAGTAAACCATGAGATTAACCTTATCAATGTTTTTGTTTGTTTTAGGTTCTCCTTTACAAAAAAGGAAGCGTACACTGTGAAGAACTTGACTATACTATGAACAGTTTTAACACAAGAAAATCTTGCAACAGAGTGATCTCTTTAAGTATTCCTGAGGGATCGTGTATATTGAGACTTCAAAGGGCATATTGCCATTAAATTAACTTCGAAAACATTCAGAACACCCTGCTGCTGTACAGTGGATGCTTTCATGAGTTTAGCACTGTGCTCTTTGCACACTGAAGCAATTGCCCACACTTCATTTCTGTGCAAACTGTTTGACACTCTGTGTTTCTATCAGTAATACTCATCAGGACTATCTGTGGAAATCCCAGCAGAATGGAGCAATCCATTTGTAATTGTTCTTTCCTTATTCTGTACTAGACAAAGGGTTGTAAACCTACAGCTCAGCTAATGGCAGCATGTTCTGCCTGTGCAAGCGGCTCTTCTGTTAGCAGAATGCACCGTCCTTAGCTGAGCAGAATGGTAGGATATAATCCAATATACTAAAGAAAACATTACCCCCAAAAAAGCTGTAGCTGTCTATAAATCTCTTTTTGTGTAATTGTTTTGTTTTTCTACATTGAATTCAATAGTGTGTGTTTGGAACCAAATGGTGGTTGATCAGCAACAGGCTCAGTAAAACTGTGCTCATGTTTTGTGTCTGTTTTAAGTGCCATGAAGTTGCTTCCAACTTATGGTGACCCTATGAATTAATGACCTCCAAGATGTCCTATCATTAAACAGCCTTGCTCAGGTCTTGTAAACTGAGTGCCGTGGCTTCCTTTATTGAGTCAATCCATCTCAGTTGGGTCTTCCTCTTTTCCTTCAACTTTTCCTACCATTGCTCTTTCCCAGTGACTCTTGTCTTCTCGTGATGTGACTGTGATGGACATTGGCTTACAACACTGCCCCTTCTCCATTTTACCTGAGTTTGCTTTCCGTATAAACATCTTGGGAACCAAGCTACTTTTGAAGCACTGGTTTTGTTGATTCAAAATATCGCTCCCTCCTCCATCAAAGGAGTTCTAATGCAGTATTTACCCCATAACCCCCTTCTCTGTCCCCCTGAGGAAGGGCTCAGGGGCACCTCAATGCAAAGGTGAAACCTTATCTAAGAATGTTTCCAATTTCCTTTAAATATGAAGTACACTGAGGGGGAGTTGGCAGTCTAGTTTACTGTCAGAGTAGTTACACATCTCTAGGTTGCTCTTTTGATAATCAGGAACACTTTCAGACTTGCTCGCTGTAGCTATAGGTAAGAAGCAGGCAGGAACAGAATGGTTCTGTTCTTGCTTGGCCTTGGTGGTTGGGAAATGGAACAAATCTGATATGGTGAAGAATCAGTAGACTTACAGTTGTTGTACATATTGGAAGTATGCAACGGTTTTGAGCTTACAATGAACATTCTCTCTTACCTTCAGTCCTTACAAATACCTTGAGGTATGTTAAAGGGAGACTGGCCCAGTCATCCAGCAAATTTCATGAGAAGAGATATGGATCAGTCTCCCTAGTCATTCCTACAGCACAATGGCTAACATGCAGAATTAGAATGTTCTTCCACTGTCATATCAGGATTGAGACTTTTAACTCAACTTCACTTGTTTCAAGAAAATGTTTCGCCTCAGCTGCTCTTCATTGTAACCAGAGGCCATAACAAAGCTGGGATGAGGTCTTGCTCTATTTAGAGCTTATGTTCTCTGTTCTTTTTACTATCACCATATAAGAATATATTTTCTAAAAACCACTATCTTCAGTTGTCTAGGAATCAAACCATACTAATAAATCAAGGACTAAGAACAGTAACTTAGAATAATCACCAGGTACAGGTAAAACAGATTGTGAAAAGTTTCAGCACATTTTATTTCGCACAAATTAGGCATTCTATAATGCATTGTGATTGGGGACAGGCACACAAGAATATTAAGACTAACCCTAAAAGACACAAGATAAGCATGCTCTTAATATGCCTAAATCTGAAAATTTTCAGCAGTATAGAAGATACAGGACGGGGTCTATGATACAACTGTACTCCACAGCCTAATGTGGTAAGATCTCACCTCATCTTGTTATTGGTGATACTTAAGACTCAAGTTTAGCAAGCCAGTCGACGTGACTTATCCTAATTTGATTTTCATTGTATACCAGGAACACAATTCAGAGATAAATTAGTCTATTAATTTCAGTTGGTAATTTCAGCTGGATTAATGTTTTATGGTCATTTAGCCCACTGCAACTGGGAGATATTCAGGTATTTCTAGTATGTCCCTTGATCAACAAAGGAGGAAAATCAACTCATTTGAGCTGTGGTGCTGGAGAAGGCTCCTGCACACTCATTGGACAGCAAAGGTGACAAGCAAGTATTGGAGCACTAAACCAGACATGTCATTGGAAGGAAAAATCATAAAACTGCAACTGACTTACTTCAGCCATGCCATGCAGAACAACTCACTAGAAAAAACAATTATGTTTGGATTGGTTAGCGGCAAAAGGAAACCAGGCCATCATAGAACATAGTGGCTAAACATCATAAAAGTCGACACCAGCTGGAGCATGGAACAACTCAAACAGTACAAGACTGGAAAACGTGGAGAGAGCTGGCCCATAGAATCACCAAGAGTCAGACACAACTGAATGGCAAACAAGAAGCCATATTTTTATGGGCAATGGTTGGTTAAAGGTGGCATTTTTGTTAATTCAAACAGTCCCTCATCTTTTAATACTGCTAATAGTTTGAACCAAGGCAAAGCATAAGTTTACACATATCAATTTCTCCACAATATGATATATATTAAATTAACAATTATAGTTCTAGGTTGCCCACTGAGTTTTTCATACTGAAGCTGCTCTTTACCACCTATTTTGTATAGGTTAAGTTAGCATGGACTGTGTTGCGACATGCTATGGAACAGAGAAGAGATCACACCAATTGTCAGATGACTATCAATGCACAGTGTAGCTATACAATTTACAATATTGGAAGGAACTATGCTGCTTCACAGCTCAAAGACAGACCTATTTTAAAATTTATTTCACTCAGGGTCTACTGCTGTTATTACCGTGTGTGTAAAGTGCATCAAATCACAGGTGACCCCTTTTGATTTCCAAGGCAAAGAGATGGTCAGAGGGGGGTTGCCACTGCCTGGGTGGTCTCTTATCTACATACAAACCAGGGCTGACCCTGCTTAGCTTCCAAGATCAGGCTAGCCCAGGCTATCCAGGTCAGGGCACTTATCTGATGCATGCGTACCACAGGCACCATTGCACACCAATGACTGTGCATTCAAGTTCACATCTGCATCTCAACGCAGTTGTGGACAGAGTTCATCTAGTCTACTACCACAGTTTTAGACTGGAAAAACTCTGCACAAAATGGCACTGTCTTTCTGACAGTTCACTCCACAGCCATGCTAATATTGTCCTTTGCATAGAACAAGATAGTAATAAAGCTATGCTTATTAATGGGATCTTCTCTGGATTAATTCATAGCATTTCAACTACAAGCCCTACACTGCTGCAACATATATCACTGTTTATTTTTCTCTTTATTCTGGGTCATTTCTGCATGAAACTTTCACACAAAGATTCACTTTATTCAAAGTCTGTACAGTAGCTCACAAGTAAACATCGAACTCAGATTTTTCAACAAGCTTTGACACTAAAGATTCAGCATAAACATGACTAAACCCCTATAGACAAAAAACTTGAATTATTTACATTAAACATTTACAATTGATTCAGTACCCAATACTACCTCAGCATCCTAAGCTTCCAGTGTAAAAAGAATTTAACACAAAACAAGTCGCTAGCTTACTTTTAGTGCATTGTTTACTAACCAGCAAGAGGAACAGCTCTGAAATTGAATACATACTGCATGGGCACAAAACAGGAATCATTTACATGAATCTGTTTATAGAAGTTAGATCATAATTTCATACCCATTGCACTTTCCAACTCAGCAAACTGACTGTCCACTACTAGCCTTTAATATATTTTCACATTAATAAGCAAAACAGCATGGAGATGGTTGCACTGGAAGAAGACTGACTCCTCCTCAGGTTGCAATTAGCTGGTGTTTAATCTATCCTGATCTTCTGGTTGGTCATCCTGTAAATGATGCTGTCATAGCCTGGATCCATATTCCAGAGGTTGTAGGAAATAACAATCACAGCTATGATGAGGCCTATCATGATCCACAGAATTATGTTGAAGACCACAGCATAGTTAAAGTTGTATGGATATCCTAGGTTATACTGATTCCCAGGGATGGTCTACAGCAAGAGAAAAAAATACCATAAAAAATAAACTGCTCTTTAGTATTAGATGAAAATACAGATTGCCCCAAGGAAACACAAGGAATATTCTGGGTAAGTACTTGAAAGACAAAGACTGAAAATATATTGTTGTAACCAGTGCAGATTTCTAATGAAACAACTCTTCTACCTCTGCTATGAGCCTGAAGTATGTTTGTGCATACTTCAGAAAATACTATTCTGAAATTTATGGCTACTTTTGAAAGACGTTTCTAGTCCATGTAGCAAAAGTTCAGAAATAAAATAGCGAGAAGAGTTTTAAAGTTAAGTTAGCCCAAATGTATTATTATAAAAGTTTTGATTTCAAACTTCAGATAATGACAGCTGGCTCATAATTATCATTTGAAAATTACTTCAGAAAAAGTTGCATGGCAAACGCATTGTGTTCATGTATCGGCCCCTACGCATCAGGCAGGGCACACACTCGATTTAATCTTCGCAATGGGGATTATAGTGGACTGGATCACTGCGGAAGCAGTGCCATGGTCGGACCACTATGCCCTGAAGGCCCGTGTGAATGTCCTGCCCCGACCCTGTATAGGCGGCGAGCGGATTTTAGCTCGATCGCGGAGCCAAATGGACCCAGTGCGGCTTCAATTAGCTCTACGGGATCCGATGCCCCCTGGCGGTTCATTGGATGAGCTCGTGGACGACTGGCATGGTCGACTTTCCACGGCCATTGATGTGATCGCTCCCTGGCGCCCTCTACGCCCTCGCTCTAGGCTGGCCCCCTGCTGATGAAGCAAGAGCTAAGACAGTTAGAGAGACGGTGGCGCTGAGCCCACGACGATGCTACAAGAGCATCCTATAGGACGTTTATGAGATCCTATGAGATGGAAGTCAAGGCTGCGATGAGGGATTTCTACGCAGCCAGGGTTGCGTCCGTAAGCTCTCGCCCAGCCCAATTATTTAGAACAATTCGGTCTTTGATGGCTCTGCCACAGAGCAGACAAAATGGTAGGGAATTGGAGATTGGGGTGCCTCAGGGGGCAGTGCTTTCCCTGACGCTGTTTAACATATATATGCGCCCCCTCGCCCAGATTGCCCGGAGGTATGGGCTAGGGTGCCATCAATACGCAGATGACACTCAACACTATTTGATGTTGGGCGGCCAGTCGGACTCCAACCCAGAAGATCTGCACCGGGCTTTATAAGCTGTGGCTGGGTGGCTCAGACGGAGCAGGCTAAAATTACACCCGGCGAAGACGGAAGTCCTGTGCTTGGGTCGGACCAGACCGGGGTTAGGGCTCCCACTTCCGACCTTCAACGGGGCACCTCTGGTGCCAGCTTCGGAAGTTAGGAGCTTGGGAGTGCTCCTGGACCCCACCTTAATGATGGAGGCCCAGGTGGCAGCCACTGCCAAATCGGCCTTTTATCATTTTCAGCTGGTACGGCAGTTGGTTCCTTTCCTCGACCGCTACGACCTAGCTACAGTGATCCATGCGACGGTCACCTCGAGCCTAGACTACTGTAACGCTCTCTACATGGGGCTGCCTCTGTCGCAAATCCAGAAGCTGCAGCTGGTGCAGAATGCTGTGGGCAGGCTGTTGGTGGGCGCCCCTAGGTGGGAGCACACCCAACCTGTACTGAAAGCGCTGCACTGGCTACCTATAGCATACTGGATTCGCTTCAAAGTGCTGGTGCTCACCTTTAAAGCCCTACATGGCCAGGGTCCGATATACCTGAGGGACCACATTTCCCCACATATTCCCCAAAGAGCACTTCGGTCGGGGTCACAACACCAGCTGGTGACCCCAAGCCCCAAGGAGGCCAGGCTTGCGGCAACGAGGGCCAGGTCCTTTTCAGTGACGGCTCCTATCTGGTGGAATGAGCTCCCGGAGATCAGGGCCCTGCGGGACCTCGTGCAGTTCCGCAGGGCCTGTAAGACGGAGCTCTTCTGCCAGGCTTTCAAGTAGGAGCCGCCACTGCCACTACCACCACCACTCCAGTATAGAGTGATACCGCCGGAGGGCCAGGTAACATCTATCTACGGCCCTAGCTCTCCCCTTCTGTTTGCAAGATGTTGGGAAATTTTATCTTTGTATTCGATGGAATTGAATTTTAACTGTTTTATCTATTTTATATACTATATGCACTTTGTGCCGTGTGTAAGCTGCCCTGAGCCCGTTTGCGGGGAGGTTGGGGTATAAATACAATTAAATAAATAAATAAATAAAATGTACTGCAATTATGTGCCTATATGTCCATAAAATTATAGAACACTGATTAGTAAATTAGATGGGATAGCCTGTCAAGCTCATGAAGTTTCTGGCAAAGCCGTTATTCTGAATAAGTTGCTGATCCTTACTTCACATTAAAACTGAAACAACTGCATTCAAGTATCTTCAAAATAACTTCCATTTTGTTCTTAAAAGGGGGGGGGGGAGACCAAATAATAAAACTCAAGGTATAGCAGCTTTATTATTGTGAGACTGCATGTCGAATAACTTGCTTGGATATGCCTCTAAAATCCACAAGGCTCCAAAATAACTGTATTTTGGATTGAGGTGCAAAGCTGCATTGGTAGCCCATTGAAATTAAATGCTTATACCAACCTCTGAGGTTTCTAGGATAGATCGTGACTTCCTCACAAAGGGTGTGTCATATGTCTTCACAGTCACCACTTCTACCACTGCATTGCCACCATAAAGGTTGTACATCTCATCTGCAAACTGAAAAGAAAAATGTTTAACACTCGTACAGCAGTAAAGGATTAACGGAAGACAGATCATGTGACAGAAGGCACACCGTTTAAGTTGCAACTGGCAACAAATGTGTGCGACCCAGGGAGTGGATTTTGACTGTGTTGTGGATTAGCAAGAAAACACTTATTACCAGACCTTCAGAGACTTCTGAAAACCTTTCGCTAACTAAACAATGACACAGCAAGCAGAAAGAATGTCAGCAAAATCAAAACTTACAACAGGAACTGCCAGCACATCGTCTCCGGTTACTAAATCGGAAGTAACCATAGACTTTCCCAAAATGTAGGTAGGTATGTAGGGCTATCTTTCAGCTATGCTCCTTGCGGAGTGCAGGGGGTTGGACTAGATGACCTGCAAGGTCCCTCCCAACATTTTATGATAGCTGCAGCTTTGCACCCTCTACTGGACCAGCTGACCAACCTCAATGACAAGTTTGATACGTTGCAAAAGGAGCTTAAAGAAACTTCAGCAAAAACAGAGAAGTTAACCAAGAAGCTGAAAAAAGTTGACGTTAAGTCCAAAGACTTTGAACAAAGATTGGAGATAGTGGAAAAAGAAAAAATCTCTGAAAGTCAACAATTGCTACTTTTTCAAACGGAAAAATCAGCATATGTCCTGAGATTTCAAAACATTCCGGAGCAGAAAGGAGAGAACCTGAAAGAGATTTTAAGCAAAGAGCTTGCTCCCGTGGTAGGCTTAGCAGCAGAAGTGATACAAAGTGAAATGGATATGGTATATCATACTTATCCAGAATTTATTTAAAAAAAAACCAAGCTACCCAGTGAAGTATATGCGAAATTCTCAAAAAGGTCAATGAGAGACTTAATTTTGAAGGCAACAAACGGAATTGTCTTGAAAATCAAAGGAGAACAAATCGAAGTTCTAAAAGACGTTCCATTTGAGATCAGGAAAAGAAGGAGACAATACAGAGAACTGTTTTTGCAAAATCATACTACCCCATACAGATGGACATTACTGGAAGGCCTTATCTTCAACTACAATGGGAAAAAAGAAAAGATTGACTCTGTTTCTAAAGCGAAAATGTTCCTGAAGCAACAACAGAAAGCGAGTGACGGATATGAGAAAGTGGAGGACAACATAAATGCAGAAGAAGAAGATAAAAAGGAGTGAAATTCTGACAATGATGCGAACAGCTCGGCAGAATCCTCTGACCGGGAAGCAGAATTAGGGGCTGCTGCTCTGAAACCTTTAAAAGTTAGACTGGATTTTGATAAGAAGCATAGAGGAAAGAATTAAGCAAAATAGAGTAACTTTGAAAGTCTGATGTTTATTATAAACTAATTATCTTAAAGCTAAGAAACACACACTATAGCAAAGCAAGATTGTGTTTGCTCACTTTATACTCTCATGTATTACTATTTGAGTAATAGGGAAATGTCGAGTATCTTGAATTTATTATTAATGATCCTTGCTATTCGTAGTTTTAGGTTGTTCCCTTCCCTTGACCCTGTAGGTTTATAGACTAGAAAAAGCAATAAAAATGTTTAAAAAAATACTTGAAGAACATAGTTCACTTTGTTTTCAGTGGAAACACGCAGGAAAATTGTTTCAAGGCTGCAATTTTAAGAGCTAAGAGTGTGCCATATGACATTCTGTATCCAGGCCCACTATTCTCAGGTCAGAATTTGTGATGCTAAACATTAAGCAAAAAAGTGTAGAGAAGTTTCCAGGTTTTGTCTCCCTCTGACAGCAGTCTTGCGCAACACAAGAAACTGCTGCCAAAATGCTGTCACAAAGGCAATTTCCAGTGAAGCACAATGAGCTTCTGTTAAGAAAAGAAAGCAAGACCGCAAGTTATGACGCTTTCTTAAAAGCATTTTACAATTGTTAGCTTTCAAAAGAAGCACAGATTTTTACTAGCTTATCTAGCTAGCTAGCTAGCTGATGATTCCCATCCTCCCACTAAGACTACAAATTCGCATTTGGCCATTGAAAAGTACTGAGACTGATGCAGTGATTTCAGCTCCTACTTTTATTTTAAGTGAAGAACAAGACAACTCTACCGGCTTGCAGGCCGGCTTATATTCCCAGTAAGCCCCACTCCCAAAACACACCCAACGCCAGTGATAGGTAATTTACATTGGTCAGGCATTCCATAGGTCCTCGCTGGGATCCTAGCCCTCAGATAGGTGCGGCTAAGATCCGCTCCGGCCATTGTTCTCTGGGACGAAGCTCGGCTGCTTTGCATGATCACGGGGAGGCCCAGCCTTGCACGCGGTCGAACTTCCATACATAACAGCCATCAACTCTAATTCTACAGTTATCCACCAATGCTCATCCTTATTTACCACCCCATCCCAAGTGGTTTTTTCGGATCATGTGGGTAGCTAAAGAACACGTCCTTCCTTTTCACAAGCAAAAAAAAAAAAGATCCAACCCACTGTTATGCAATCCATTAATGAGAGACGAAGCATTCAGTCAGGTTGTGGGTAAAGGAAAACATTCCCCTGCTTTAGGCTAGCACCTCAATAAATTCATTTAACCATGTTTCTCTTACCTTTTGCAGTGAGTCTGCAAGAATTTGAGAGGCATCCTTGAACTGCTGCGAATCTTCTCCATACCGTTTACCAATTTCTTCCAACCCAGAAAGTTCTAAAGAATATAGGTCTGGTGAATGATCCTTCGCTAAATGCTTGTGCCTGGAAAGCTTGGGAAACAGCAGGAAAAAGATTGTGAGTGAAATTTTGTGAGTGCACTTTCAATTTAAAGATTCTTTTCTACATTATAGGTAAAGGTAAAGGTTCCCTTGCTCGAAAGCCAGTCGAATCCGACTCTAGGGTTGCGGTGCTCATCTCTGTTTCAAAGCTGAAGAGCCAGCGCTGTCTGAAGACGTTTCCGTGGTCATGGGGCCGGCATAATTAAACACCAAGGCGCGCGGAACGCTGTTACCTTCCCACCAAAGTGGTACCTATTTATCTACTTGCAATTTATTGCTTTCGAACTGCTAGGTTGGCAGGAGCTGGAACTAGAGACGGGAGCTCACTCCGTCTTGCGGCACCCGGGTCTCGAACTGCTGAACTACCGACCTTCCACAGCCTGCAGTTAAGCGTCTTAACCACTTGAGCCACCGCAGCGCATGGATCACTGTTGCAAGGTCGTTGCATTCGAGGAAGGGAGCCAACTGCCTGATCAGCCGTAGATGGTAAAAGGCCGCCTTGGCACTGGCTGCTACCTGGGCCTCCATTGTTAAAGAGGCATCCAGGAGCACTCCCAAACTCCTGACCTGCGGCGCTGGCACCAAAGGCGCCCCACCGAAGGTCGGTAGTGGGATCCCTACCCCCGATCCGCTCTGACACAAGCACAGGACCTCCGTCTTCATTGGATTCAATTTCAGTCGACTCAGTCTGAACCAGCCCACCACATCCTGAAGCGCCCACTCCAGATCATCTGGGCTGGAGTAGGACCGGCCACCCAGCACTTGAGCCACCACAGCTCCATATAGAAAAGTGTATCATATGCCAAATTCACAGACAAATTATTTTGTTCTAAAATTATAAGTATGAATTATGTCCCATAATGTGATGTGGTGTGCAGTTCTCTGTATACTAATATGAAAGGGAAAATATGATCCGTTTGGAACATTGGTGGTGAAAATTATCACCTTTAATTAGGCCTGCCAACTGGTTAAACTGTTAGCTCTGCTCTTAATTGACAGCTGTGGGTTTTGGGGATGTTGCAGAGAGTGCAAGGACTTATAATAATCAATACCTCTAATTCTCAACACAGCCACATCTGTGGATACTTAAATCTGGAGACTGGAGCCATGAACAGACAAGACAGACCTTTCTTTTTCAGAAAAGGCCCATGTTCACAGAAAAAAAATCTGAAATCTGCAAATGGACAAGACCAACAAGCTCCCATACATGTCCCATCTCTGTAGTCGCCCCATCCTATGGAAGAGGCTGCCTGAGAAGGTCAGGAAGGCCCCTACAGTCCTGCAAAACAGACTTGTTCAGGAGGACATTTTAATAAAGATAATGGTGGTGGAAAGAGCAGTCAAGTCACAGCTGACTTATGGTGACCCTGTGAGGTTTTCAAGGCATTTTCAAGACGTTCAGAGGTGGTTTGCCATTGCCTTCCTCTGTATCATGACCCACGTATTGCTTGGAGGCCTCCCATCCAAGTACTTGCCAGGATCAACCCTGCTTAGCTGCCAAGACCTGATGAGATCAGGCTAGCTGGAATATCCAGGACAGAGACTAAAGATAACAGAGTTACCACATAACAGATCAGTCCAGGAAAATGCACTATTTCTATTCATGTAATACCACATTCTGCATTGTTCAACATTTCATGTTTATGCTTTGTTCAGACTACAGCTCCATTTCAGATTTCTGTGATTTATAGTCCTATTTACATTGCTTACTAGATCTATCATCCTATTGATTGCATTGATTGACATTGTGTAATCTACCTTGAGTCCCAGTGAAAAAGGCAGATTATTAATAACAGAAATAAAATAACTTTGCCATTTGACAGGATGACCAGAATCTCTGTTCTGTCTGTCTGCCTGTATTCTACAGCTGTTGGTTTGGAAATGCCAATTATTCAAAAACTGCACAAATTGTTTCTTCTTTCCAGTTTAAAGTTTTCCCAGCCAGCTGGCATCAAGCCAGCTGAAAAGTTAACACGGCTGGAAAATTACATACTGTCTGTTGCTACTGAGTCTGGAGCCAACTGGCAGCCTTCTTTTGTCCAGATTCTGCCAATGAGTGCCAGTTGCCAACCCACAGTCAAATTAAATTAAAAAAAACAAAAAAACAGTGTCTTTGCTTACCAAGCTTGTGATATCATGTAAGACTTGTAATTCTGACAGAAACAGCAGATCAACCTAAGGAAAGAATATACTTAATTATTTTTAACAGGAATCAAATGATAACATTTAATTCATGGTGAAGAGTCCAAGTCAGTTTATATATTAGCACACTAATTCTCACATCTGTCATTTGAGCCAATATCATCACACTGTTGCTTACCAACTAATCATTTAATCAGTAACTCAATGACAAATAGATTTCAGTTAAGATTAAATCATGCCTTGAGATGATCATGTCTGACAGATTTGACTAGATTAAATCTGTGTGTGAATGCTTTGCACTGTATGTAGCCAGAGGTTTAACAGCTATCCATGCTAGTAATGCCACAGTGAAATCAGAAAAATAGCCATATATAATATTATGGTTTTTATTTTATTTATAATATTATGTTTTATTTTATATATATATATATAGTATGTGTGTGTGTATATATAATGTGTATACACACACACACGATGGGTAAAACAAATGTTGACAGAATGTGCAGAGCAAACCCCCCACACTCTGAACATTTTATTCTGCAAAAAAGAGAGAAGAATTTTAAATAAAAATGGGAGGGTAGATTTAAAAAAAATTCACATCCAATATCTAGTCATGTCTTACCTCATTGTTTCTGCTCAGAGAATTAAGGGGAAGAGAAGCCAGAATGGAATTATCCTGGAATAATCTATTCCGAAGCTGTCGTAGTGTGACTGAAAGGTCCTCAAACACAGAGTTTGCCTTTCCCACCATGTAGACTCTCTGAAAAACACCGTTGTTCAATACAAGAGTGAATTAATACCAAATCGTTTGAGAACACATTCAGATCAAGCAACTTTTTTCTAACATTGTAACTTTTAGACAGATTTGTATTTGGAAACCTGAACAAAGAGTGATTTAACTCATGTCAAGTGCTTTCAGAAACAAATTGGTTGCTTACCTCTTCACTAGGAGCTAGCTGTACTACTACGGGGGTTTCCTCAGAAAACAAAGTATGAATAGCATTTGCAACACCATCCAGGTTGAAAGGAACTGCCTAGAACAATATAAAAATGCTAGTTTATAGAAATGCAAACATTGTACATCTTTCTAATTGCCTACACATTGCATGCAACCATATTCAGGCATCAGCCACTTATGAAGAAACTGATTCTGCATTAATTGTAGTAAGGTTATCTGTATGCAGTGACTATACTAGCTAGTTCCCCCAGAGTTACAGAAACATGCAGTTCTACAGTCACTGTTAGAAGAACTACATTAAAAATAAAGATACATCAAACTGATTCTTAGAATCATCTCAGCACTTCTCTTCAATTAAGACATTGGACCTTCAGGCAGCTTAACAAAAACAAAGCTGTACCTATCACTGATACACACTTTAATATATTATTGGATAAAATTGGTGACCCAGACTATGCTGTTACTCTTTAGACTTGTTTCAATGAATAGGTTTATTTTAATTATTTCATTTCAATTCATTTCTTAAGCATCCTCAGTCCACACAGCTGTGTTTTCATAAGGTTTTCAAATTTGAAATGCTTCATGTTTGTTTTTGCAGGCTGAGTGACTGCTACTTAAATGCCACATTATTTTGATACTTTCACCCAAAGGTATTCCCAACTTTGATGACTATATTGAGAAGCTTTAAATAAACTTAGCTAGTGACTCTATCTCTGTCAATTTCAGCTGATCTACTATCCTAACAAATAAAAGATTCATTGAAAGAAATGTAAGGTAACAAACACTTTTTGATGGTGTGCAGAGAGCGCTAAGTTTTACTCCTGCACCTTTGCTTTCATATGCCCAGTGTATGACTCTCAATCACCATTACAGAATTCTGCATCTCTATTTGAATTTGTAAGCAAAAAAATATAAAAAATAAAATAAAACACACAATAAATACAGAGTGCAACAGGGCCAACTGCTGGAGCAGCATACACATTCCAAGGCTTCCTATTAACTTAAAGCCCTGTTTACCACTACTACTGAAGACAGTAGTACACAGCGCATACAGAGACAGAAGTAACTAGGGTAAATGGTAAGGCTATGCATGCTTCCCATATCTTACCCTTCTACTTTTGAATTACAAGGAACTTCTAAACTGGACTGGGATTTGGATGCTGTGCACAAAATTGCTGTAGCTCTGCATATATCTATGTGCACACATGGGGGGCGTACAGAGAAACAGATTCTGTTGAGGCTAAGGGAATCCACTACGCACAGCAATGCACAAGGAAGGGACTGGATTGTTCCTGTCATTGTTTTTAAGAATTCTGACACTTTATAAAGAACTGGGGGCACTGCAGATTTTCTTTGCCTTCCCAATAGGATTGTAAGAAGAAAAAAAGAGGGCTGACCAACTGGAGCAAAGAGACAAAGAGAAAACAATGGAGCAGTGGGAAAAACATCTTATTCCAGCCTCGTGGTTTAGTGGGAGCACTACTGCTTTTATATTCCACAGATCCCCCAGAGAAGCTCAGTGTGGAACATATAGGAGTTAGAAATGTATTGGAATAAAATTTTCTTCCCACTGCACCAAATAGACAAGTAGAGGATATATAAGGAAGTATGAACAAAATATTCATTCTGGGGATCTTGTAGCGCTGACTGGACACAAAAAGGAAGTGTTATGTACTTTCCATCCCAAGTAGTTTTTACGAACATATCATTCTTACTGTTAAGTATCAACAATGAAGCCTCACCATGCCCTTTCACACAGCAGACAGGAAACGGATTCAGTACAGATTTACTGAAAACCCAAGCATTCCAAAATTTGACATTTAGCAATGAACTGGCACACAGAATTGAACCATACAGTGCAAAAGCAGTGAACAAGTATTGCTTTATAAAAACTCTTTTTAAAGTATGTGGAGAGAGAGAGAGAGAGAGAGAGAGAGAGAGAGAGAGAGAGAGGGGGGCTTTTAGAAAAGCTACTTAATTCACAGCATTTTAGTACTTACATTCTCAATTGGGTAAGAAATACCACGCTCAGGTAGCGTTAACTTGTCTATCCCTGTTACTGTGACCAGAACTGTAGCTCGAGGACGCCGGAAGAGATCACCTACTGCAAGTCCAGGCCAGGAGACGTCCTGTAATCAAACAGGGGTTGATTTTTTAGTTAAGCTTTTTAAAAGAAATGCCAGAAAAAATGAAACCACTCAAGTTAGGCTCAAATTTTAAAAAAGCTATGATGGGACATCCATTAAAGAGTTATAGAGCTCATGCTACTGGAACCATTTACAGATAAAAAGTAACACATCTCAGCAACACTCAGATAGCTATTGTGATACAGTGGTTGGAATGTTAGACTAGGACTGGGGAGACCCAGGTTCAAATCTCTGCTCAACCATGAAACTTGCTGGGTGACTTTGAGCCAGTCACACACTCAGTCTAATCAACCTCAGAGGGCAGTTGTGAGGATAAAATGTAATCCTATGTATGACAACTATGCATAACCTGTGGAGACCAATTTCAGTTGCAGCAGCAGGAAAAGAAAGAACTATAATAAAAATAAAATAAATATGATTTGGCTAAACATGCTTCACATAAACACAATCTGGTCTTCTGCCTTTTGTTCAAAATCCCCAAATAGCAGAGTGTCATAAGACTCACAACTGCCTAGGGTAAGGCCTACTTTAAATAATCAAAAGTAGTGACAATTACTGTGATTGGAGACAGACACAATAAATTACATACTTCCTCAACAGAGAAGCCCATGGATAATGCAGCCAGATCTGAAATTCGTTCTCCAGGTATTGGCCAGCTTCCCTGATGGAAAATGACTGACTCAGGAGATCGTAATACATTGAATTCATTAGCAAAAATACCTGAAACAGAAAGACAAAACGCAGAACGTTTTAAGCAACAACACACACAATCCTTTTGCTGGTCTTCAACAAGCCACAGAATGAGATAACTGAATAGACCACCATATTACAGGTGAGGGAACACTAATTTTCAACATTTCCCTGTGTAAAAAGTTAATCTTCCGGCAGAGAGGAAACAAATTCACCAAAGAAAAACGGTTGTTGCCTATTATGTTATTTTTATTCATGGTAAGGTTAAAATACAAGGGCAAATTTTAAAAACAACAACAATTTCCTACCTCCATTCTGAACTGATGCAGTTCATTCTAGCACCTGACATTTTACTGTGTTATTCTGATGCATAGTTAGACAAGGTTTATTTACAGAAAACACAGTTTGAACTTTAGTTATTTTACCTATAAAATTATAGCACACCACTACCAAAGCAAGCACTAATGGGATTGAAAGCAACCTGAACAGATTACAAAATGTGGAAGTGGATGAATCCAGTCTAAAACAATTTTCAGGCTCTTTTCTAGCAAAGCTGTCCCACACAGAGCCAAAAAGGATGCACTGGCAAAAGGACACTGAATGTACCTTGCACTTACTACGTGGATTGGGTGTTAGGGTTCTCCCATCCTAGGGAATTTAATGTCAGATCCCACTGTTCTCGGGCAACCACTTTGATAAAGGAATGAGGATTAACAAACCATCACTTCAATCTCCACTTTTTGTGACGTAACATCTCAAATTCTATTGCTACATCCTATGCAACTCATTAGCCCTGGTGCGGCCAAAAAAGGGGAGAAAAACACAACCCTACAGAAGAAAGGTAGCCAAAAACTAAAATACTAAAATATCACTATGCATGTAGTGCTAATGTACAAAATATATATAATTTAATTATACATTCAAAAGTGCTAAAATACCATTTAAAAACTATGATCCTATGGTTCTGCATATGAGTACCTAATCTTAATATGAAGACAAATGTCCAATCATATAAATACAGGTTAAAAGGTACAAATTATATCCATATACAAGAACCAATACCAAATGTGTTTTGGCTAAAAGCCAAATTCAAACTGAGCACTCCATACATTTAACAAAAATATACACAAAACTCATCGTACACAGAATGGACCTAAAATGAAAGGGGAGGGAGGAGAAAAATAATTATCTATATGTCTGTTAAGCAACAACAAATATTAAATATTTTGAAATATATGCAACTAGGATAACAACTTTACTCACACTGAGATGTTCACCCGTAGAGTGAGTGGTGATAAATATTCTTGAAATGCAAGATGGGCAATTCACCAAGATGTACAATATTTCATATGCCCACAGATCTTTTTTATTATTATTATTTTATCCTTTTAATACACTCACAGATCTAATATTAGGATGAGGTACTCTTATACTAATTAGCCCCAACACTGGCAACTGAGAGCTAGCAATTCCAGAAGGTTTGTATTCGACTCAGAATTCTGAAGGCAGAATTACACCATCAGACTGACAAGAGCTTCCAATAGGCTCAGTTCTCCGGCTACAACAGTCTTCTTCATTTGTTCTACACACATTAACCTTGAAGGCAGGATTAAACCTTGCTCAAGGTTATATAAAAACAAAGCAGGTATTGACAGTAAACATCTGTCATTCTATGTTTATACTACCAGTATGGCATCTGTAAATATTTTCTACCCATTAGGTCATTAGAACGTAGATGAAGGAAGTGGTTCAAGATTATTATTTTTCTAAAACTGCAATCTTGTCTTGGTGTAGCTTTTTTTCTCTGTACCACTATAAAGGGAAGCAAGGGCACATTCACCGATCAACCATATTAACAGTTTGGGAGCTATGGTTTATTTATGAACATACAAGAATTGCAGGTATCCCAGGATAGCATAGCTCCAGTACAGCATTTAAGATGAACCTGCAAGTAGGCTGTTGATGGGGTAGATTGTGGCAGCTGTACTTACCTTCAAAGATATGTTTATATTTGGTCTAGAAAGACTTTTTAAAAAAAATCTTTACACTTAAGATAGATGACTTTTCAACAGAAACAAATAAATATTTAATGTATTTTGACACTCAGAAATATATTTCCACTCACAAAGGAAAAAGAAATTTTCCTTTATGAGGTACTTAAAAAAATCTTTTTTCCCTGTTGGATGGGCTATTCCATGTGCTCATCTACAGGCCAAATACTTGACTGTAAGCCCTTTACTTACAAGACAGACCCATTGAAGCCAGTTTGGTGTAGTGGTTAAGTGCGCGGACTCTAATCTGGGAGAACCGGGTTTGATTCCCCACTCCTCCACTTGCACCTGCTGATGTGACCTTGGGCAAGCCATAGTTCTGATAAGAAGCTGTCCTTGAAAAAGAGCAGTTTCTGTCAGAGCTCTCTCAGCCCCACCTACCTCACAGGCAGTGTTCCCTCTAAGATGAGTTAGTGTGAGCTAGCTCACAGTATTTTAGCCTCCAGCTCACACATTTTTGTCTCAGCTCAGGAAGGTGGGCTCCAGAGCAAACTGATTGATGCAGTAGCCAAATCGTTTGCTCACAAAGCTCACAAAGTAGAATTTTTGCTCACAAGACTTCACAGCTTAGACGGAACATTGCACAGGGTGCCTGTTGTGGGGAGGGGAAGGGAAAGGAGTTTGTAAACTGCTCTGTGAGACCTTTGGGTAGTGAAGGGCGGGGTATAAATCCAATCTCTTCTCTTATTATTATTATTATTATTATTATTATTCCCACATAAACTTGTCCCCTATTTTCCAATGCAGGCGGCAGCATAATAACTGTCAACTCATAGTTACAGTTCACACACACATTTGAATTCTGGAATGCTTTATAAAGAACGGGACATATTACAAGTTTATGTGTACCAACTGCTTTGTTGTTGTTCAGTTGCACAGTCGAGTCCAATTCTTCGCGACCCTATGGACCACATCACAGCAGGCCCTCCTGTCCTCTGGAGTGTGCTCAACTTCATGTTCGTTGCATCGATAACACTGTCTAACCATCTCATCCTTTACCGTCCCGTTCTTCTTTTGCCTTCAATCTTTCCCAGCATAAGATCTTCACCAGTGAGTGCTCCCTTCTTATTTGGTTGCCAAAGTATCTGAGCTCCAGTATCTGGCCTTCCAGGGAACAGTCAGGGTTGATTTCCTTTACGATTGACTGATTTGATCTTCTTGCAGTCCAAGGGTTGCCACAGCTATCCTCCCAAGGAGCAGGCGTCTTTTAATTTCATGTCTGCAGTCACTGTCTGCAATGATCTTGGATCCCAGGAACGTGAAATCTGTCACTGCTTCCATGAACTCCCCTTCTATTTGCCAAGGAGTGATGCCATGATCTTAGTTTTTTTGATGTTGAGCTTCAAGCCAATTTCTGCACTTTTGCTTAGAAAGCCAACTGCTCAGAAATATACAAACCCATACCACTTTGGACATATGACCACACATGTCAGTTGTGTGCAACAGAAGTTCTACATTCTGTATTCTAAATTCAAATGTGATAATAACTGGCAGTATTTACGCATGCATTTTGTTTTAGACTTATTCTTTTGTATTACTCTTAACCACTGTTTGAGCAGTACTAATGTAGCGGTGTGAGAAGAATTATGGATAAGAGCAACCAACAGAGGCGTATGATTAGAGGTTGTAAGACCAAGAGAGGAGCCAATGTGGTGTTTCAAGATTGCCCTACAACATCTGCACATTTTCAGATTCATTTTCACAATTGTCAGGGCTAGGTACTTTCAAAGACAAGTTAAAGAATCCAGATGTTCTACCAGATTCCTGTTACTAACAGACTTCAGGACAGTAATGGGTTTGAATACATTCTGCAATATCCCGATAGTTTTCCAATATAATTCTACTCAAATATTCAATGTAATATCAGCTCAGCATGCAGAAACCTGAGCAGAACATGTTTCCTCATCAATAAACTCAAGACAGCAACATTCACCAAACTGATTTTGATATGAACTGGTATGAAAGACAGCACTTCCTGCTTTATCCTTGGGAGCAATCTGTTCCAGCAGCTGCCTTCTTGACCAATTATCAGCTGATTACCAATGATGAGAACATCCTTCACTCCCTTTTTATAGTCTTGCCATTAAAAGAGAATGACAGTGGGGTAGATCCAACCCTCCTCCAGGTAGCCTTCCTATAGCCTAAAGTGCCTTCCTCTGACAGAAGAGCCATTTAAGTTAGAGGAAGGCTTCAAATCTGAGCCAAAATGAAAGGTGGGGTATAAAAAGTTTAACGAACAAATACACTTTGCTCAGAGGAGTCATGGATAGAGGTAGGAGCCACCCCACTGAAACGGTCTATTAATTTTTACAGCATAACAATTAAAAGGAACAGATCACTTCTTGTGTGTTCCCATGAGATTTATGGTAGCCTGGATTCAGCTAAACCAGACTGGTACTTAGAGCATAGGAATGAATTAACCCAAGGACTTAAAAGGAACAACATCTTCTCACTTAGACAACAATCCTAACCACATACAAGGGAGACTTCCTCCAATGTCTCATTCTGCTCTTGACCATATGCACATACGGAAATACACTACACTAGTAGAATTAGAAGTCAGAAAGAGCAAGCTATGACTAGTTGTAGTCACTATTATTCTTTATACTGGCTTCTCTACTACAGGGAGACTAAGAGTTAAACTAAAAGTTACATATCTTTTGAATATTTTTTTCTCGATGACTGCTTTTGCATTCATGGTGTGTGTGTGTGTGTGGGGGGGCATTCTGGTAACTGTAAGCAGCTCCTCCATCCTTTTCAATAAAAATTTCAGCCAACCACAGGTACCTTCCATTTTTAAAAATTAAAATGAGGAGAATATTTACATGTACCTGCCACATAAGAGCTACCTTGGCCTCTAGCTAACCTAACAGGAATTCAGCTATGCTTCTCAACATTCTGTATTAGTGCATGTGCAGGCACAAAATAGACTTATTGGCACTTTACTGTAAGTTTAATGCTTTACTTTATTAACAGCCCTACACGGCTCTATACTTAAAAGCTCCCTTTGTTTTCACTCTTATAGATGCCATAGCGGTTGCAAAAGAAAATGGGAAAAACCCGAAACGGCTCCGGTTACCACTTTAATACCTCCATGAGCAACACAAACTGAATTCCAATTACAACTGAAAGATACTAATTTGAACAACAACGGACCTTAACTACAAAATGGTTTCATCACACACCAACACTTCTCTGTATTTTTCCCACCACCATTTCTCTCCGTCCCTATATATACACATACATACACATTCTACGAGTAGGATGCACACCGCTCCCTTCACCCATGAAGACAGAGCCCCATCCCAGCTTCCACACCTAGCTCCACCGGCTCGACCACCCCCTCCATACCCAAATGTAGTAGATTATCTCTCTTCTCTCCTTCACCCTCTCCCGAAAAAAGGTCTAACGGAGAAGACTCTCTACCGGCTGAGCCTGTGGTAATCCCTGACAGACGAGGAGCTTTACCTGCCACAAGCGACGCTGCCGCCCAAAACGCCAGCCCGGTCCACCGCAACCCCATGACTACTGCCACCCCAGCGCCGACGAAAAACCAGGTGAAAAAGGAAGTATAAACCAGCCGGCCCCACAGCCCAACTTTAGCCCGCCTCCGGCTCTGATTGACAATACGACTAGCCATTCATAATTAAAAAATGAGGAACTGGAGGAAAGAGGAGTGGCTAGACCATGAGAGACAAGTCACTCTGACCAATGATAACACTATGGGGGGAAAAAAGAGTAGACTAGTCATGGGACTCGCTTGAAGAGAAGCTTGCCCTCATAGAAGGCAGGGCTTCAAACTTGAGTGATAGCCACAGTGGCCATTCAGAAATTACACGATCTCTTGACTCGTCTTAGGAACGCTGTCTTTGGCGAGGAAATGTCAGGCATGCGTAGATGTGCTTGTGAGAAGTGGTCGACGGCAGGAGGTGATACAGCGACTGGAAAATTTACCAATCAGAATACACGGGATCTCTCTCTCTCTGGCTCGCGCTTGCCTAATTTCTTGCAGAGGCCGAACATTAATAAGACGGGCGTGTTCTGCGATTAGATTGACCTCTGATTGGCCCAATGAAAGTCTGAAGGGTAGCCGTGTATTCTAGTGCCATTACAGAGCTTGAAAAGTGCCGGACTGACTACGAGGAGGGGCATAGGTTGGGGGATTACTGAATGACGGGAGAGTCTTTCTCCGGGATTTCCTTGCATGTGTGGGGGTGAGTGGGCTGACCGGATTTACTCATTTGTAAAATGCGGTATTTTTTTCTGTTTTACAATTTAACATTTGAATAGTAATTCAAATGAAAAGGACCGTTTTCCTGTTATAAAGAAATTCTTCCGACTTAATTACCTGGTTTTGTTGGCCGCTGGGGATGTGTTTCTTTGCATATAAATAAAACACTAGTTCTTCACGGGGTTGAACCGATTAGTTGGTTAGCTTGATTTAGACCTGGGAAGTTTACACAACATTTGGCCTGGAGTCTGCAGGCCGATCAGAGGCGTGTTTTGTGTGTAGCGATGTGCATCATGTAAAGTTGTTGGATTGCGGTGGCTCAGAAACGTGATGCTATGACTGTATAAACTATGGTAGGCTCTACAGTTGGTTGGGTATTGGGCTAATTCATCTCCTGGGTGTTCCTGTGTAGACAAGAGAATTCAGGAGGTGAATGATTATGATAGCACAATATCCAACAGTAGGTGGATCCAGTGGGATCTCAGGGGCACAAGCATCCTGGCAACCATTACATGCCCCCAGCTGTTTGAGCTAGACCGTGGGTGTTCCTGAAGATGCAGTCTGAGACAGTGATTCCTAATATGGTGCCTAATGTGTGTTTCTGGGTGCCCTCTTGCTTCATCCCCAAGGTAAAGAACCACTGGTGGCTTTCCTCCAATTCACTGGAGTAGGAGGAACTTCAGAGTAGGTGTCACCTTTGTGCCTACAGTGAGCATCCATTTGGAAGCAGCTGTTTCCATCATGAAAGTTAAGATAATAACAAATTAAACGCTGAAACTTATACTATACTGCAAAATGTTATTAGTAATATAACACGCTTTAACCTTTTCTTTATTCTGTATCTCTTTGAAAATCAATAAAAATCTTCTATTTAAAAAAAATGAAAGGAGCATTGCCTTGGAACCTTCTAAGACTTTGTGACTGGTCCCCACCTCAAAGGCAATCACTTTATGGTGGTGCCCACTACCCTTTCTCAAAATTCTAGAAGTGCCTTGAGGCTTAGCAGGGTTGGGAACCCCTGCTTTTAGGGTGCTATATTTGAGGCCTTGCTTTCTGGACTATTGAAAACACCTGGAGACAGGAATCAAGTCATAAGGGAACCTCCATGGTGACACTGTCCCCAGTTATGCAAACTGCACCCTGTGCTGGGCCTGCTTATTGCTGTAAACCAACATTTTGCTGAAAAGTGAGGTAAAAATACAAATAAATAAAATAGCTGCTCCTTTAAAAAAGAAAACAAGAAACAGGAAATGTGGCTGTGTCATGGATAACAGTACAGCTTCTGACAACACAAAAAGATATATAGTTCATTTAAAAGTTTGTGCTCTGAAAAAGAAGAGCTTGTACACCATGAAATGCAATCAAATCTTTTTATTGTTCTAACAATGGGCAAGGAGCTTTAAAATACACAGGCCCAGAGCAATAATGGGCTGGGCAGCATCAAAATATTAAGAAATAATGTTTGCATCATTAACATCTAATTATATGGTTTAGCAAACCAGTAAATAGCATGACTAAAACAGCAAATCACTATACAGTTGAATTTTTAATACCGTAAGAGAAATGAAAATCTAGGTGGTGAAACCAACAAAAGCTCTTCAAGCAAACAATTTTCATATAAAGGTAAGTGAGAATTGGGAAAAGTTGTTTCCTAGTGTTCAATAAAATAATAAAATCAAATAACAGCACATTACACATGCGCAGAGAACACTCAGAAATACTGAGTCTTCTATGACATGAAAAGGTACAGTATACATTGCTTTTATTTTATGAATAAGAAAAGGGAAGTAAGGGTTAATACCCAGAATGTGCAAATGTCTGAATCAAATGTTGACTGGAGGGTGTGTATGTGACCTTGTGAGGATGAATCATTTAAGGACTGGGAAATACTTAGACATTTAACAAGAACTGTGGAAGTTATTAATAATGAAATGGCTATTCATGCTGTGTTCATGTGTATCTAGATATAATGTTTTACTTTCCAGGTCTTAACTCACAGGCACCAATCACCTGTATATTCTTCAAGCAAATTAAGTAGACCAGAAACAGCATTAAAGATAACCTACAAAATTAGGTTTTAGAAAATACTTGCATAATACAATGTGATAGTTCAAATGAAAAGCCCTTGCAGACATATGGGTCTTCCTTTTCCAAAACACTGCATGCCCATGTCAGCAGGGGCTTCTGCAGGTGCCAATCTGCAAATGGGCAAAATTAACAACCGCTTTCTCAGTTGTGGCTCCCACCTTGTCAAATGGGCTGCCTGAAGAGGTCAGGAAAGCTCACACACTTCTTGCCTTCACAATATGCAAAATTGAACTTTTCAAGAGGAATCTTCTGTGCAGGTAAAAGGGTTGCTCTGTACAAAACGATTCACAAAGTTACCTGGATAAATTATTAGGAATGTGGTCTATACCACTGTGTATAGTTTATTGTAGTATGATCATATTATGTAATCTACGTACTGCTTAATGTGTCATGCTGTGTTACAAGTTCTTATGCTATGCTTCAGTTCTTTCTGGTGGTTCCAGAGTTATAAAACCCTAATGCATTGGTTACTGAATGTCCCATTTTGTTGTACTGACTCACTGTGTGCAATCCACCTTGAGTCCCTGTGAGAAAGATGGAATATAAATAATGAAAATAAATAATTTTTAAAAATGAGGCCTTCAACTCTACATCAACATATAAGCCTAGAAGTTCAAAAGTAAAGAGGTTGCTGCAGTGCCAAAAGCAGCACTTGAGACAAGACCAAATATTCATGTTGTTGCAACATGGCTAATTTTCTATGTGTTCATGTCCCAACTCAGAATCCTCTGTTGCATTCTATGGGATTCTGAGAGGAAGGTACCATTTGCACAGAGTTGCAAAAAAATTGAGCATGCTCTGATAGGTCTGCCTGGGTGAATTTAAATAGCTGCTGGCCACACCCTCTGCTGGGGGAAGCTTCTATTTAAGGCAGCACCTTGCCAGAGACACGAGGCACGAGCCTCTGGCATGAGCCAAAGAGTGAGAGCCAAAGGGCTCTTGGCCCTTAGACTAGGGACTCTGTAAAAAGCCCAGGAAGAGCCAGAAAGCCAGGGCCCTAGTCTCCTTGGGTTCCCAGTAAGGTAAGTAGACTTCTACAAGGAGAACCACATAAATACTAAGAACCACATAAATACTAAATAAAAAGAGGAATTATATATAATTATTATTTTTAAAGCAATTATGAAGCCAGAATGCCAGCAGGGGGTTGGGGGCTATCCAGTGTTTTGCATGGAGTGTCATATGTATGACGCCCGCTGGACAGAAGTCTTGGCTGTGTGCCCGGTGCAAGGAGCTCCTGGTTCTCCGGAAACGAGTTTGCTCCCTTGAGGCCAAGGTGGCAGAACTGGAGAAGCAGAGACAGTCAGGTGCATGGAGAAGACCCTCGGGGACTTGTTAGATATGTCCCACTCTGAATATGGCAGCCCTGCCACTGTCAGGGAGCATGAGGGTTGAGGGGAATCAGGGCACCGTGCTGAGGATAAGGGGAATGTGCCTTCAGAAGGGACCTCTTCAGCTGGTGAATGAGTATCCTTTTGCACCAAGGAACCATCCTTTGGCAGGGAGGAAGGGGGGCTCTTGGTAGTTGGTGATTCGATCTTTAGGCAGGTAGACAGCTGGGTGGTGAACCCACGTACTGACCATATGGTGACTTGCCTGCCTGGTGCAAAGGTAGCAGACATTATGTGTGTTCTAGATAGGCTGGTAGATAGTGCTGGGGAGGAGCCAGTGGTCATGGTACATGTTGGCACCAACGATGTGGGGAAATGCAGTCGTGAGGTCTTGGAGGGAAAACTTAGACTGCTAGGCAGGAAATTCAAGGCCAGGACCTCCAAAGTAGTCTTCTCGGAAGTGCTACCTGTTCCACATGCAGGGCTGGAGAGACAGGCACAGATCAGGAGTCTCAATGCGTGGATGAGACGATGGTGTAGGGGGGAAGGGTTCAAGTTTGTTAGGCACTGGGATGCTTTTGTGTCCGAGGTAATATCGGAATTGGAATGCTTGGTGTTGGGGGGGGGGAATAGACATTGTGGGTATTTCAGAAACTTGGTGGGATGAGGAAAATCAGTGGGATACGGTGATTCCTGGTTATAAATTATATTGGAAGGATAGGGGGGGAAGGGTTGGAGGTGGGGTGGCTCTGTATGTCAGAGAGGGTATACAGTCCAGTAAAATTGAGAGGGTAAGAGAATTGGATTCGCCTCTGGATATGTTATGGGTTGAAATGGTAGGCCCAAAAGGAAGCTTAACACTGGGAGTTTGTTATTGCCCACCAGATCAAAAGATGGAGGA